AAAATTAATAATATAATTATATATTTATATGTTGAATTGATTCACAAATCAAGTTTTGTATAAAATAATAATTAATCTAATTCATAATTATAAAATTTAAATTAATTACTTTATTATTATTATTATTAATTTATAAGTAAATGTTAATTTTTTTTAATTTTAATAAATTAAAACTAAATAAAAAAATATATTTATATATTAATTAAAAGAGTCAATTATTGGATTTATTTATTTATTGTGATAAAATTGGAAGTATTTTTTATTTGTATCCGTTAATAGAGAGGAATGTTTTTGACGGTAGGAGTGATGATAAATTAAATACTTGAGTCCTGTAGACGATTATTTATTTTGGTGTAGTCCCTTTATCTTCCAAAATAGTTAATCCCTTTCACTTTGCGGTATCAATGAGTGCAATTTTTCCCAATTGACCGACCAACGAGTTCAGTTGTTTGGCTTTGGGGCAGTCTCCGATCCAGAAGAAACTCTCGCTCCATGGATTAGGGTAACTAATTACTAAGTACTTCCTTCCACTCTCATATTTATTCAAGCCAAAATCATGCATGGATCAAAATCTTCTTCTCTTACTCGCTATTCTACCCAGTTAACCGGCATAACAAACTAAATAACCTAGAAAGGAAAATTTGATGTGCGTTCTTATGTTCTTATATTTATTTCTCTGCTATTTTAGCAAGACCTTCGGTGTATGCCAAATCAGCTATCTATTCATGCCAACATTGTGTGATACATCGTACATGCCTTAAGTTGTTGTGATTGTGAATATGCAAATAGATATATGTATTGAGAAAGAGTTTAAACATAGTTACAGAAATTGCATACTCCCTTAGTGCTATGGACAAGACTGTATTTTCCGAGCCGAGATGAAAAACATATAACATGGATGTTTGTTGGGGAATCTGTTTTGAAAATTGCTCTCTAAATTGTACGTGAAGTTACTTTCTCACCAAAACAGTAGGGGGCGATGATATAAACATATTAAGGTATTTTTTTTCTTCTAAAGTTTGTTTAATCTATTTAACGTATCTCTATGTTCAGATGCCGCTTGATTGTATCTTCTTCAGCCTTCCTTCTCTACTGCTTTTTAGTAATATGGGTGTTTTTCGGTTCAAGATATGTAATATGGTATCTACTATCTTGTAGATCAAGTCACAGCTTCTAATATGATTGGTGCACTGATATTGTATCCTCCTTGGTACATGAACCAAATTAGAATGAACCTTTTTGGCTTTGGAGAGAATAACTTGTGATAAAAAATGGAAGCTAGGAAGAAATTTTGGGCTTTGACAGCTGACACCAATTTGAAACTAAGCTGAAGGATTCTCTTAAATAACATCACATTCCTTCTTAAAATGGGAAAACCCCTAGAAGAAAAGTCTGAACCAACCAATAGACAGATCAGAAGTGGTACAAAATGCAATTCTAAACAGGTGAGTGCAAGTTTATTTATTTTGTTTGGAATGTTTTCCACATTTTAGCCTATTTTTTATCACTTACACTTGGTTGATGTTTGGCCATTTCAGACTGTAGAGAAATCAAATGAACGTCCTGAATGGTTACCTGACGGCTGGAATGTGGACTTCAGAACTCGAAGAAGTGGTGCAAATATGGGACATGGGTATAAGGTGATACACAAAGTCTCGTTAAGTAATTATGTGGATATTACTGTTACAGAACTTGGCATTTTTAATTAGGCCATCTTCTATCTTTTTGTGTCTATTTTATATTCTTTTATCTGCCTGCAGTAAGTTATTGTTCTTCCATTAATGCCAGCTTGCTGTTAGTTAGGAAATAACACTGCTAGCAATACATAATTCTATAACCTGCACCACTCCTCTGGTATCCAAATGGGAAACATGAATTATGATTTTCGTACAAGTATTTGTAGTGGAAAAGTTTCTTTGAAAATCTGAATCATGATATTAGCAGGCAGTCCAAGGGACCTTTAACTAACTGCTCAATGCTTGGGTTGTTCATGGAAGGAACATCACATGATCAAGAAATATGTATAGAATATGTTCTCAATCTAATTACAATTGTGGCTATTAGCATATGGGACAACCGTAATTTTGTTCTCCTGATTTGTCTGGCTTGTGATTAGTTGTCTTATATCGGTTTGAGCTTGCTTTTGAGACATATATTTTTAGGCCATATTCAAAATATTTATAAAGGTTATATTCGTTGTAAACTGTAAAACTATACTCTTCAGTTATCGTGAATATGTAATTTTGTACCTCTTGACTCTTGGTAGTTTATTTTCTCTGGTTATGTTGTTTGAGTTTGGCACATTAATTACATAACTGTAATGTGGCTTTATCCTTTGTTTTATACTTTTGTTCTCCTCTATTAATTATTTTTAAATTGTTAAAGTAAAAATTATTAAAAAAAGTATCTGGATGAGTGTGCTATCATGTATTTGTTGGTTGCCGTAAAAAATGCATCTCATCATACTATTAATCTGCGTTTCTTGTTGCAGTGTTACATTAATCCAAGCGGGAACAAATTCTACTCCAAACCAGAGGTGTTACGATATCTTGAGACTGTAAACAGCAACAGCTGTACTTCCAATAAGGAACAGATATGCAAAGGCAATGTTTGTATCTCTATATCCTTCATCTCTAGTTTTCTTTTCATTCTTCTTTGTTAGTTGTGAACTTTATCATCAAACAGACAGCTTCTATTTTTTCTTGTTGTCATCTGTTATACTGTTGTGGGACAAGCACAATTGATTGTTTGCATAATTGAAATTTTGTGATGTATGAAGTTGTAGTCACACTAGAATTAAATAATAATTAATTCAGGAGTTTTGTTTACTCTGTGATTAAAGGATCAAGCCATAATTTTAACCTGAAGATACAACCATAGCAAACAAAAAGTATATACGAAACCAGGAAATATGATGCAATCCATAAGGGAAGAAGTGCATTGATAATGGAATGTTTGAGTTAGCTTAAGGCATACTTTTAAAGTGTTTTCTATTTTTCTTTTGGTATTGTATATCAATTTGGATTGATGTTCGACTTTTTAAGTCCTAGTTTACCTTGTAGAATTTTGTATATGCTTGGTAGTCTGGCATTGGTGCCATTCAATGCTTTAGCACTTTTACAATGAAAAGGTGCAGAAAATTATTTAAAATGGAAAAAGAACAAGTTGAGTTTAATTTCATGATACATTAATTATTTATTTTAGGGGGTAATCTAGATGTCATCTTTGCCACGTTCACAAATTAATGTTTCTGGATACTGTGTTGTCAAAGCTACCACCAATCACTTTCATCCCCAGTGTTCAAGAACTTGGCTATGACTAATTTTTATGTGTATTATAGCTGTATTTGTTAATCAAGGGTTTCTTTAAATGTTCCTGTTGATTTCATGGATGTTGTTCACTGCTAGATCTGGTGTTTATGACATAATTGGAATGTTACATTTTTACTTGTTGAAATCATAAATTATATATGGAAAAGCGACTCATAGTTGTATTTTGGTTCAGCCTATAGACATTGTAGCAATACATAATATTTTCTTAACTTAGTACTGGCAAGCTTTTGAATAGGTACTATATTCTACCCTTCTGAAAATCCAAATGTAAATAATTAGTTGAGTTGCTGATAGGTGCTTCTCACTTGTCTGTAATGATTATGGACATGGAAGTGCCTTTAGTTTGAGAGTCTATCATGCCAAAAAAAGCCTTTAGTTTGAGAGTCTATCATGCCAAAAAAAATTTGAATAATTGTCTTTCTGGACTTCTTTCCTAATCACATGCAGAGAGAAACGCACCTCTTATAGTAATTGTTTTATGAAGTGAATAAGATACACTTTAATTTTATAATCCTTACACAGCGTTATTTATCATTATAGTCTACAACTCTACTTGAATGTTTTGTGAACAAAATGATCATTGCAATACTATCCAAAAGGATTAAAAAGAATAAAGGCTGGGGTTGTGACATAAAAAGCTCTCAATTGGCAAAATGCAACCACTTGATTTCAGAGAACCAATTACTTATAGCACATTACACTTTCCCATCCCAAACATTATTTTCCTGAGTCTATTGGAAATTAATCTATATGAACATTTTTTTTTTTATTTGCAGACTTGATTCTGATCCTGAACCTTAGTTTGATTAGAAGCAATTACTCTCTGCGTTTACATTCAACCACTGATTTATGGTGGAATAAAACATCTGATACCCGCTCCACCATTTTATGTCCGTAATTTGTGGATTGCAGCTCCTGTCTTTGTGTGAAACCATTTTTGCCCTTTTAACTGACCAAAAAACCATAGGACAGGAGAACAGCAAGTTTTCTTTGAACTTTTATAAATACAGAAAAACTGATCAAATACATTAAAAATTATTATTTTTTTAATCTATATATTTAGTGTTTTATATCGAGTATGAAAGAAGTTAAAAAATAGTATATAATTAAAATATTGCTTTGAATGGTAATGATTACTTAGAATTATTCACAGCTTCATTTATTAAATTACAATACACATTTTTTCTCAATTTTTATTTAAAATTTACAATATTCCCATTATGTTATCAAATTCATATATTTTTTCAGTAATTACATGTTTTAAAGTGATTTTGATTAATATTATAAAAAACCATGCTTTTTGTCAAAACCACTTTCGTAATTAAAGTATCCAAACATAAAGCATGTTATTGTAAACCAACTTCTGACCAAAATCAAGTTTGGGTTAAATTATACTTTTAGTTCTTTATCGTATTTCTTAGATTCATTTTGATCCTTTATTTATTAAAATGTTCATTATGGTACTTTATTTTTTATATTTGGATTGGTTTGGTCCTTTTAAAATGATGATCATTTTCAATTTTGAGACACAATTTTGAATCAATTTTTTATTAATTCAAGATGTGAGACTTGTAACATTAAATTCATCTGTATGAAAATTATAAAATTGAATTGACGTTTGATATCAAAAGGGATATAAACATAGTGAAAATCATGTGAAAAATTTATCTCACAAACAACTAAAAAATAATGTGAAATTAGATTTTTTGAAATTTTGAATTATTTTTTAGACTTATTTTTATGTGATTTTTGCCATGTTTACGATAGTTTTTTGTTTGAATTGCATTTGTTTTTAATAACTTTCATGTAATTGAATCTAACAAGATAAGTTTTAAGTCTTAAATTAATCAAAAAATGATTTAAAATAGTGTCTCAAAAGGAAAATAACTATTGTTTCAAAGGGATCAAATTGACTCAAAATTAGGAAATAAAGGATCAAAATGAATTTTTTAAAAGATAAAGGATCAAAATGAATTTTAAAAATAAGATAAAGGATTAAAAATATAATTTAGCATCAAGTTTGCAAACTGTAATTCTGACACAATGAAATAAATGTAGGGAGATATCCAAATTATTCTTTATAAAATATTAGTAAGATTGGAATAAAATTTTCATTTTTATGGTTGATAGAAAACGAATTCACAGTGCATCATTATATGAACCTGATATCATTATCTGAATTAAGTTTTTTTTTTTTTTTTTTTCTAAAACTACTAAGCTAGGTAAATACAGATCCAGTCTAAAACGTTTATCATAATAAATGTATTACACCTTTTAAAAATATTGTTCATGAAATTGATTATTGAATAAATATCTGTTTAGCCCATTGCATGTTTATTATTAGAACTTAGAAGTTGAGTTATCTTGATAAAATTGTTTCCCAATATGCAGCTTTTATAGTTTTGGAAATGTAATTTTAGGATGCAATTGAGAAGTTCACTGCAAAGGATTTACCACCTGGGCTGATAACAGAAATCAAGATTAGGAAGGGAAGCAATGGCAATAGGATAGATCTGGTATTGAAGCTTTTAAAAATATTCATGAAGTTGATTTTTGAATGAATTTCTATTTAGTCCATTGAATACTATTAGCACTTGGAAGCTATGAGTTATCTTGATAAAAAAACATTTGGATATGCAGTTTTTATAGTTTTGGAAATGTTGTTTTAGGATGTGATTGAAAAGTCCTCAGCGGAGGATTTACCACCTGGGTGGATTACAGAAGCCAAGGTTAGGAAGGGTGGTAATGGCAATAAGAAAGATCTGGTATGACATTTCAACAATATTTGACAGATATATGTTTTGCTGCCTCTCTCCTCCCAAAAGAGGAAATTTTTTATTACAGACCCTGCTAATATACTCTCATTTGTATTTTAGAAAGAGTATGCAAGTTATAACTGGATTTGTTAAATTAGTCCCAGAGGTGTAGGATGCTATCATACTCCTAAAAAACATGTGGGAGTGTATTAACAGCCGCATCTTAATACATTTGAAAGAAAAAAATAAAAAAATAAAAAAGGATATTTATATAATCTCTCTTATTTTTGTCAAATCTAGTTTTTTTTTCTTATAAATTGTATTTCTTCCTTTGGCTGGTGGCTAGCAAATCATATCCAATGTGGTTTATTACATCATAGTGCAATATACTGCATTTGATAGTTTTCAAAAGGTTAGTACATTTATAAATTATGATGGGATTATACTTCCAACAGTTTTATGTAGATCCAGCAAGTGGATATGTATTTCGTTCCAAGAAGGACGCATTGCGCTATCTTAAGTCTGGAGATATAAATACGTGTGTGCTTAAACCATTTAAAAGACATATCAAAGATGAAGATAAAATAACTGTAAGTTTTGTCTCTGCCCCAGTATGAATTACTGACTTACAATGGTAGCTTTTTATTAACTAAGCTTAATTAGGTTTGGTTTTAATATGTTAACTATTAAAAGATTGAAAAAGAAAGTAAACTTTGTCAATTACATAGGAGTTAAGACTTGTTTTGAAAACAATCTAATGAATCTATACCCCTGCAAATAGTAAACAAGTTTGAGTTATTTTTAAAATTCTGACTGATTACTACATGCTTATTTCAATTTCTATATTCAATATAACTCATAACATATGCCATACATGCCTATTACACTTGCCTATATTTAGGACTCAGGAGCTCTGATATTAGTCGATAGGTACTGGTTCGAAATATAGAGACTAACTGAAATTTAAGTAAGGCTATTTTATTCAAAAGGAGTGCTAGCAACACTCTCTCCAACACTCACTTACTAACACTCTTTATTATTAGTTGAGATTTATTGGAAATCACAGATTTTGTGGTATCGCGTTTCATTTAACGAGTTTCTCTCTTGATTTTGTGATAAGATCTACCAAAATTTGTGATTTAGTAACAAATTTGTCATTCAGTACCCAGGGTCAAGCAGTGACTAGTCTTGAAACCAAAACTAACTTGCCGACTTATGATCTCTGCCTCTATTTATAGCAAACTGACTGATGAACTACTTAACAGCTTTCCTAGCAATGCCTGCCCTTAACCAATAATGCCTAACAAACAAGATGACCCACTTGATTCCTCTGGCCCATCTATTGTGAGCTTTCCTGATTGGGGTCATGTTCCTAACATGATAAAAGGTCTACACATTTTCCTGTTTTTTTAACCAAAAAGCTAAATTGAAACTGGTAATTTCTTTAGATCAAATTCAAACATTTTGAGGAACTTCCTTTTTATGACAACTTTGTTTTCCACTTAGTGTTTGGTGGTAATAGCTTTTCTTCATTAAGATTTCTCAACTTGCTTAAAATCCTTTTATAAAAGCTCCTATTGACATGAATTGTCTAAAGCCAAACATTTTGTATAATATGGGCCTCTCAACAAATCAGAAATATATATTTATTCTTGTATATGGGAAATCAAGCTCTGGAAATTTTATAAATCTTGTTTTGTTTTTTGTTCAATCTAGCCGTCATCTACTGGCAAAAAACAGAAAGTAAAGCACTCTGCCACAAAACGACAACTTTTTGTAGGTAAGAAATCTCAAAATGGTTATATTTATGTGGCTGATAAAATGTTCTACAAGGTTATCCAAATGTTCTACAATTTTCTTAAAACTTGTTACTATGGGCCAAGAAATATATGATGAAAGCGCCTTAGAATTGCCAGATGCTAATGACTTGAAGAAAGGGCAAGTTGTGACAGATTCTTCTGGAATGATGGTTGCTCCTGTTCCCCTGAGTGAACCTCTTGTCACGAATCAATCTTTAGAGAATGCAGTTGCACACTCTCCTGAAATGAAGAAAACATCTGATCCAGGTAGCTAAGTGCTGTTAAAATTGTATCCTTGAAAGAATCAGGAAAAAAAGAAAAAATAAAAGTTCTTTTCTGAAGCTGGATTTTACTTAAATCCTGCAGATGATGTGCAAGAGAAGAATCGCGTTGTTAATGTGTTGGAGCATGCTAGTAAGAAGAATCATGGCAACCGTAGTTTATCCAAAACCAAGGAGTCAGATGTGGCTCGCCGTGTTTCACGGAGACTTTCTGGGGCAGAACCGGATCAGTTGACCAATGTGGATAATGAACAGACTCTTCAAGTTTCTAAAAGAAACTTGAGAAAAAGTAGAAGTGATTTAGACACTGATTTGACAAATAAATCATTTCAGCAGCTGAATGGTGTCCTAGAAATTGAGCCTTCACATAAAATGCAAGGAGAGGTGCTATTGAACTCCAATAAATCCAGCAACAAGAAAGAGCAACAGATTCTTTGTCGCACTTCAAAACGATTAGCTGGATTTGAACCTGAGCTGAACGGATCCATCTCCAACGAAAGAGCTCCCGAATATAGTAAAAAGTCTAAAGGTAAGGCCACTGCAACCTTCCAGCAAAGTGATGGTCGACCAATAATGGAGCTTGCAGATCATGCATCAATAAATGGCGAGTCATCAAATAAAGGAAGAAAAATTCCTGAAACCAGACCCATAACTTGCGACCAGCTGAAGAAATTTGATGATGAAGAAATGAATAATGATGAGAAATCAGAACCTGAGCAATCCTTAGCATTTCACTATTCTTGGTCTGACCCATGCTTGGAATTTGCGATTCAGACCGTCACAAGTGCATTACCAGCAGAGGATTCAGTTGGTAATTTACCTGCTAGGGTTTCTGAAACTGATATGTTTGCCAAAAATAAGTTGGTTGAGGGTATTTCAGGAAGTAGCAGTGCCAAAAACTCAAGTGTAAACTCAAAGAAATCCAAGAACAAGAAAGAGCTTACAAGGCCTAGGCGTTTGTCAAAGCGACTTGCTGGCAATGAACCTGAGATACTGCCTACTGAAAAAGCTATTGAATATGCCGCTAGAAAATCGTGCAATGAAAAACCTGCTGCTACTGCAATTTTAATTAATGAAGTGTCTGGGCATCTTCATGCCAAGGAAGAATCCAAGCTCATTGTCCAGGAATCTGACAGGTTGAAAACATTATGTGGGGAATCATCAAGCAAGAGTGAGAAGTCATATGATACCCAAACTGTTACCGATGAACAATTGCAAGCTGCAAATGTTGATGATAACAAATCAGATCCACAGTTCCCCTCACCGTTTGGGGACTCCTGGTCAGACCCATGCCTAGAATTTGCAATCAAGACTCTCACTGGTTCTTTGCCAGTTGAAGCTCCTGCTGCTGCTGACATTTTGCCTGTAATGGATATTGATATTAATGACCCACCGAATAAGGAATTACTTGAATGTATGGAGCAGAAGAGTACCAATGAAGAAGCTCGTGATAACCCGAACCCATCCCAGACCAAGAAAGTGTTTAATACTGTTTGCCAGCCACTGAAACAAGACCTGAATCAGCCCGAGTTGACGATCTTTTCCACATCCTGTGGAAATGATCCTAAATTTGCAACTAGAGAGTCTTACAAGGATGAAGTCAGTATAACCAGGAATTCTATTGGGAGAGAATCCCAACGTATTGAAGCTAGCAATGCAAGACAAATTGATATAAACAAAACAATACTTGAAGAAGAGCCTTCAGAGGAAAAACATGTTCTTGAGGGTGAATCTGTGGCAGAAAAACCACAACCCGAAACAATAAACCTTGATTATACTGAAAGAGCATTTTGTGTTCCATTTATGGATTCTTGGTCAGACCCATGCCTAGATTTTGCATTTAAGACTCTTACAGGCACAACAATACCAGTAGAGGAAAACATAGCAATTCAAGGAGGTTTCCAGGAACCGGTGAATCGCCATGACCAGAGAAATGGCAGTTTGACTGTGCCAGATTTTGGATTTACCAGCATTTCTCATAGTCATCGTGGTTTGTCATTTCTCAATGATATAGGGGAGAAGTCCAACCCAGGGCAGCAGTCATCAACGAGTTCTTCATTCCTTCCACAGGAAAAACCGAGCGTGCATGGTTTCTCGGGGGTTGCTCCTCAAGAACAATTCTTTCAGTATAGTAATAATTTTCAGAAAAGGTGAATTCGCAAAACACTGGTAGCTAGTCCCAGAATATAAATAAAATAGCTTTTGGTAATCGTCGACTGTACTTGTGCAGACTGCTAAATCAATGTCATGATGCATCCTTTTTATTTTTATGGTGACATTTGTGAATACATTCTGAACACAAGCTCTGGTTTAATGTGTTGTATTGCCTTCTGAGAACATCTGGGTGTTAACTTTGTGAAGATGTTTGTGATTTCAAGTAGCTAACCTGTGAAAACATGAGTAGCTTTAAATACCAACGAATCTATTGGGGAAGATTAGCGGTAATTATTGCTAACAAGTTGGTAGTGTTTAATTTTATGAGATGAAAAAAGGTTTAAATGGTGAAGTACCATAAAACTAGAGAATAGAGAGTATTCAATATGAAAATGGATTAAAAATCAATCTCTTTATAATAAGCATGAATCTTTAAACACGAATCTCTATTCTGGATAAGAATGTTTTTAAGAATTTTTTTTACAAAAGTTATTTTTAGGATTTTTTAAAACTTTTTTTTTATCTAATTTAATTTTTATTTATCATAATTGTTTATAAATTAAATTTTAATATTTTTAGAATACATTATTAATAAATAAAAATAATATTATGTTATAATATAAATTATTTATTAAAATATGTAAATATAACTTATATATTTAAAAATGTCTATTTATATAATTTTTAAATATGATTTATATATTTAAATATTATATATATATATATATATAATTTATTATAAATTTTAATTACATATAATAATGCTCTTATTAATATACTTAGTTATATGTTACTTTATCACAAAATAACATGATAAAATATCAAATATACAATAGCTATATATCTCAATACTTTTTCCTCAAATACGTCATGTTATGAAATACTTAATGATTCCTATTATCAACTTAAAGATATGTTCGTCATTGTTAATGATTAATTATGTTTAAATAATTATTGGTGATGAAAAGTATCAGACATCAAAATTTAAATTCATCATTAAATAGAAACTTAAGAGCATATAATTCACTGTTTTGGTGTGAAAATAATGCTAAGCACTATTGAGAAGTAATTTTTAAAATTGAAATTCAGGAAAATAAGAAAAATAACAAATTAAAAAACTTACCAATGATCTCCAATAAATTGAGTTTCTGTACTTGAATAAAAGGAAGAAAATGAGAGTTAAAATTTATGAGCAAAGTCAAAAAGAGGAAAGAAAATGAGAATTTAATTTAAACACACTAATAATGTAATCAAATTATAAATTATCATATATAATAAACTTGTTGAATTTTATATTAATTACTTTAAAAGTCATATCTATGGAAATTTTTTTATTAGATAATAATATGAAAAATATTTTTACTTACAATACATCAAAATTAGACTCGAGAAAATAAACTAGTAAGATTTTAAAACATATGGTTCTACTCTTTTCTTCTTCTTTATTTTTTTTTTTAAAAAAGGAAAATGCTTTTTGGGTGGGGGGAAGAGAAAGGTAGACAGAAGAAAAATATATTTGATGCACTATGTGACATGTGATAAAAAGAAGAAGAAGAAGAAAGTGATACCGAACTGTATTATGGCAACTTTTAGTTTGTTCGGAAGCCACGGTGACGTAAACAATAATTCAAACTTTTCAAAACCTAAAATACAAACATTATGTATCTTTTGCAAATGTAAACCAAACACACACTTCTTATCCTCGTAGATAAATTCTATGGTACCTATCTTATTTGAGAGGGTACCGGTACAGTTTTTTATATTTTATATTTTTAGTAATTTATTTAAATAATATTTATAATATTTTATCCTTTCAATTTTTAAATTATTTAGTCATTTTATTTTTATTTTATATATTCTAATTTATTTGTAATAATATTATTATATATTTAAATAGTTTAATTTTAATAATTTTTTAAGTATATTTTTATCTTTTCACTTAAAATTTTTGAATTTTTATATTTTAATTTTAATAATTTTTTAAGTATATTTTTTGTCTTTTTATCTTAAATTTTTGAATTTCTATATTGTAATTTTAATAACTTTTTATTTCTACTATTTATTAATTTTTTCTTTTTCTTTAATATTTTATAATATTATTGAAAACTTATAATTTTAATCTCTATAATTTTATCTTACTTTTTATTTTATAAATATAATTTAGATTATTTATTTTATAATTAAATTAATTTTTTTAAAAAAAAATTATGAATTTACATAAAAAAATGTATTGAAACCCTTCCATCTTTGAGGGTACCGTAGCAACTCCCATCATCATATTAATATTAATATGATGTGATGCAGACTATAAATTAAGTGCAAACTGTGTTTATCGACATCATATTAGTCTCCTTCGACGCCGAAAAAAATGCCTTACCTTTCTCATTCATTGAATTCAAAGTTTCAAAGCTCTAGAGATAATTATAAATTTATAGCCCAAGGCTCACCGGTCTTCTTGAACCTTTATGATAGACACCTATCATTAAAAAAGAAAGAGAAAAAGTTAATCCGAAAGCGACGTACCCCAACCACAGCCAAACAAGATTCTTCGTTGACCTTAGCGTAGCTATCTATTGTGATAATCGCACCAAAAAACCGAGTATTTGATCTTACATATGACTCCAACACAATTGCTTTCCACAGAAGAAACACATGGTTTAGTGCGTGTTTGTTTTAGCTTTTGGACATAAAAATTCACGTTTGTGAAAAGAAAAAATTTGTAGCTTCTACGTAAATTGGCTTGTAAACGTGGAGAGAGTAAAAAATTACGTTTCTAAATCTAAAGCAAACACGAAAAGAAAAGAAAAAATTAATCACACCAATAGCAAATAAGGGCAATAATTTAATTTTAACCATCTAAATATATTTGATATGACCTCTCATTTTCATTCATTTGATGCGAGGCCATGTGTATTTTAGGTATAATCCAGAGTTGAAATAATTGATCTCTTCCACATACAATACAAGGCTGATAGCGATCTTAACAGATCCTTTGTAGTTTGTAATAAACAAAAGAAAAACTCTATCCTGCGCTTATGGTGGCTCCTTACACTTTTTTATAAAATTAGTATTTTAGTTTGAGCATTATTATATATAATTAAAATTATAATAAAAAATATATATATAAATAAATTTTATATTTAAATATATTAATTTTTATTTATTATATCTATTTATTAATTAAATTAATTTCTCTATATTAAAAATGTGAAATTATATTAAAAATTTATATATAGCCCAGATCCAGATTGAACATATGACTAAATAAAAATTTCATAACTTTCGTTTTACTTATTCAAATGATCTGAAATTGGTTTGGTTGGTAACTAGACTTAAAAGACTTTAGTTTAGACATTGTATCACTCAAACAGGGTTTAAAATGAGGGAGATAATGACTCCGTAATATTACACTTCAATTCTCATATTTTATTTATTATTTTTTTATAAACTAAAATTAGATGACTAGTATTTTTTTTTATCATTTTTAATATTATTGTGATGTAAAATTATTTACTTACTTTTAATTAAAATTTAATTTATAATTTTTTAATTTTTAAAATAAGATAACATCTTATAAGTACTTAAATAATGATACATTCAAATAATTTAAAATTGTACAAGTACTTGTTAACATTTATATCTAAATACAACAACTTATTAAATTTTAAGTACTTATAACAAATTCTAATTACATAAGAATTTATTATATGAAATTTTAAATAAGTTATTTTTATCCAAACAATCTCTAATATATTGCAGTAATCTAAAAATATCTAAGAGAAACTTATATTAACATGATTTTTCTAAATAAAAAAAATAGACTCACATGAACTCCTATAATTAAATGCAAATAATTATTTTGTGTAAAAATATTTTATGAATTATTATTTAAAGGAAACATTCGTAAGGATAATTTTAACTTTTTATCTAATGTAATTTTTTATTTATTATATCTATTTATTAATTAAATTAATTTCTCTATATTAAAAATGTATAATTATTTTATGTGAAAGTATTTTTCAAATATTATACATTTTAATTATAAATAATAAATATTTACCTTGTAAATTAAACATATTAAAATACTAATCGTTAATTTAAATTACCTCAATCGTATGCCGCTAAAGAAAAAGGCAAATCCCAACACCGAGAAAGAATTAAAACAAACATTTTTTTTATTAAAAATTAAATATTATTAGCGTACCCATATTGTAATAATTTAGTTGCACTGTGAATATAATATATAAATACGATAAGTTGATTTAGTATATATACCTTTTTTTATTTTTTTACAATTTTATTTATATAACAAATTTTAAACTACCTTCTCTCATTATCTCTTTTTCATTATTTTTTATTTTTATTTTTATTGTAAATTTCTGACTAATTAACAATATTTTTTTGTCCCACTAGTTTAAGATAAAATGCTTGCATTGGGCAAGTAAAACAGTGAGAAAAGGAGAAAAGTGAAAGACAGTGACTGTATATATAGACCACATAGATCTTGACGAGTGATTTCCTGCAAGGTTTCATTTTCTTCTTAAACACGTGACAAAGGAGCTTATTGATAATGATGATAATGAAGTTTTAACAAAAAACTGCACTTGTGTTTGGGTGATAGAATTATATTATTGAGCGGAAAGTGGATGGATGGATGGATTAGTGGGTGGCGGTGGTAGTAGGCATGAGAAGAGGAACATGAGGATATCCGAGGGGGCAGAAGACAACCCTGTAGTTAGAACCGGCGGGGCAAGTGAAGGTACTTGTAGGGTCATCCTGAGGGTAACTATAAGCATCACGGCACCTATCCTTGAAGAAACGGGAGTAGTTAGTGGCCGTGCAGCTACCCTGCCCATTGGTGCAGCAATACTCATTCGTCTTGAAAACAGTGCAAGGGTTGTTGCACCCTCCGGGGGCCCTTAATGGGCCTGGGCACTGCCCATTAATGTCCGCCGTGCAACTGATTTTGTGGCAGGCCCCGTTCACTGGGTAGAAGTCCATCGGAATGTTGAACCCGTCCACCAGGGAAATGTCGTAGAAGTCCAGGTTGTTGAACTGGTTCAGAGCGAACTCCGCCAGCGTGTTCGGAGGGACGCCCCACCCGCTGCACTCCACTCCGCCGCTGCAGTCGCCCGTCTCGCACCGCCCGCGCCCGCTGCCGTCGAAGTTGCACCCGGTGCGGCCCCAGATGCGGGCCATGGCGGTGCCCGGGTTCACCCAGAGGTTCCACGTC